TAGAGAAACTCAGTAGCATACTCATGGTCACCTGGGATAAAGAAAAGGGAACTTGCCTTTCCTAATCAAGGTTTGCTTGGTTTTGCTTGTGCAAGCCGTCCTGAGCTCCTTAAAAATAGGGACTTTTGGGGGTCAAAGTGGACAAGGCGCACATGCAGGGAGACCCTTGAGGAATGTCCAGTTGGGCGTGGCTTCTGGTGTATGGCAGTGTGTTCCCGTGACTGGGAAGTCTTACTCGACCATCCTGTTCAGCATTCTGGCAGGGTTATTCTGGTTCTGATCTTGCCATCAGGTGGTGGCCAACCAAGGCTCAGTATCCCTTCCTGTGGCTGTTTCCCAACCCACAGTTGTGCTTTCAGAAGCTGCATGGCTGCCAGGCTGGGAAAGGCTGGGTAATGGAGCCCACGCGTAGGTGGTGGATAGTGAAGTAGCTGCTTGGCTTTGGGTACAGGGGTGGCAGAGATGTTAGCTGGGCTAGGCCAGGCGTGAGCGGGGCACTCTGGAAGGGGGTCTTGGTCAGGCAGGAAGCAGAGATGGACAGGCATCTGGCTCTGCAGTTGGCCGAGGTCACACAGGATGTGGCCTGGTGGACAGCTGGTGTGGAGGATGGTGTCAATCAGGCCAGCCTCTGGCAGAGGTTGTCAGAACCACGCATGGTGCCAGGATTGGGCCTGGAAGCTTTTCCAATCTGAGGTTTTTACTATATCATATGACCCCTGTAGCTTTGTGGTTGGTTCTGTTTTAGTCTTTAAGAGTGCTTTCAATTGTGTGTGTCCTTAATCCAAAGGATTCCCATGACCTTGAGCTGCTTGGGGGATTCCTGAAGGTCCAGTTTGTTGGTCTTTTTGGTTGTTTAGAGACAGCCCAGAATGGCCTTGGGTTTGTGGCAATCCTTCTGCCTCAGTTGGCTGAGTTCTGACATGTGCTACCATACTTGGCACAAGAGATACTTTCGTGTGTATGTTTGTGTGTGTGTGTGTGTGTGTGTATGTGATGTATGTTCACATGCATGTGGTCACATGTGTGTGCACATGTATGTAGAGCTCAGAGGCTGACACCAGTAAGCATACCTGGCACAAGAGATACTGTTTTGTGTGTGTGTTTTCTTCCTTGGTTACTCTCCCCCTTGTGTATATCAAGACGGGGTCTACACGAACCTAGAGCTCGTCTGCTCTGCTAGTTCATTTAACCACCTTGCTTCAGGGATCCCTGTCTTCTGTGTTAGGGATTACAGGCAGGCCACCATGACAGTCTTGCTGTCATGTTGCTGCTAGGGATTCGAATTCTGTTTCTCATACTTACACAGCAAGCCCTGGGAGATGCTGGCTTACTATGATCAAGCTGCCAAAGTTGGATGTGGGTGGGAGGTGGGGACTTGCTGTTTGCTCTCAGCTTGGTCCTGACTCCACTCCCTGTTTCCCCACACTCCGTACAAACCAGTCTCCCCCGGATCCCCCTTTCCTCTCCTTTTGCGTGTGACTGCTTTGGTGTGTCAGAGCGGATGCTCAGGAGTCACGAGTCCAAGAGCTTTTCCCTCTAATGAGCTCTCGGAGGGCCTCAGTCAGCCCCTCCTTGCGCCCCGCCCACTCTGGTTACTTATTTATAACAAATGATATTTGCTTTCGTCCTCTAAGACACCAGAGGAAAGGGGGCCAATCAGCAGTCAGGATGCCCAGTCAACATTTGGAAGGAGGGGGAGCAGAAGAGGATGACCCAGCCAGAGGCATCTGAGGAGTGAAAAACCTTCTTAAACCCACACAGCCAGTGATGACCAAGACCCAGACCCTGGGCCTCGTGATTCCCAGCGCAGTTCTATCCGGCACTGGAGCCTCTTTAGAAAGCATTTATCTTCAAAACTGAAGCGAAGTCTGTTTCATTTGACAGCTTGGCATTTTTCTGTCTGCCAACACTTTGATAAATTTAGAAGACATGGACTTATTTTGGCACATCTGGTGACTAGCAGAAAGATGAAGATTGCCACTCTGATGATGTCTTCACACAGCCACCTTGAAGCGCAATGGCAGCTGACACGAACATTTTCAGATGTGCTGTCTTTCAGTTGGAACAGGTTCTGATGTCATTTGACTTGTGGGGAGAAGCTATCACGGCTCTGCCTGAGCTGAGGTGATCAGTGGATTGGAGCAGTGGAGGCTGCTGATATATCATCCATTCCTCTGTCCGTCTGTCCATCTATCCCACTCACCCACTCACACACCCACCCAACCATCCACTCACCCATCCATCCATCCATCCATCCATCCATCCATCCATCCATCCACCCACCCACTCATCCATCCACTCACTCACCCAACCATACATCCATCCATACATCTACCCATCCATGCATCCATCCATGCATCCATGCATCCATCCACCCATTCACTCTACCAGCCACCCATCCACCCATCCAACCTATCCATCCATCCATCCATCCATCCACCCACCCAACCATCCACCCATATATCTACCCACCCATCCAGCCACCCACCCACCCATCTAACCATTCATCCATCCTTTTATAAAATTAAAAGTGTGTTTTATGTGCATGAGTATTTTGCTTGCATGTATGTCTGTACCATGTGCTTGCCTGGTGTCAAAGGAGGCTATAGGAAGGTGTTTGATCCCCTGTGACTATTGTTACAAATGGTTGTGAGCTACTGTGTAGGTGCTGGGAATCAAACTTGGGTCCTCTGGAAGAGCAGCAAGTGCTCATAACGACTAAGCCACCGAGGGGGTTTGCTCTGTTTTTCCAAAGACATTTGATTCTCCCATAGAGAAACATTTTGGACTCAGTATCCTGGCTAGTCATCGGCCTGTAGAAGTGGAGTGTTTAACAGTCAACAGGAAGTCTGTCATCTGGGGTCTCAGACCTTTCTTTCTTGTTGACTTAGCCTTTACTTCTTGCCATCAAACCTAGGAGGATTGAAGAAACCCAAGTGTCCCAGAAATGGAGGAGCTGCTGAGACATGGATCCAATATCTTGTTCTTCATAATCTACCCTGAAGGCCAGAGGGTGGATTTCTCCCAGGATTCTTGGAGGCTTTCTCTGGAGTCACTTAGGAGGATCAGTGACCTTGAGCCTTGAAACAGTCGAGGAGAGGGCAGCAGGGACCTGAATTCAGAAGCCTTGATGTGGGAGAGGGACCTGAAGTCTAGGATGGGGAAGATTTTTTTTTTGGTTTTATGAGACAGGGTTTCTCTGTATTGTTTTGGAGGCTGTCAGTCTAGCCCGGCCTCGAAGTCACAGAGATCCACCTGCCTCTGCCTCCCGAGTGCTGGGATTAAGGGCGTGTACCACCACTGCCTGGCTGGGAAGATTTTTATACAGTTTTCTTATACCTAATTGGACTCTCTCTCCAGGCTAACAAGCTGGATAGTTCCTTGCAGAAGTTCATATCTACAAACACATCTAGAAATCAACTCATTACCCCCAAATTTGCACTCCATGCCTCCCCAAACCATTGGTGTGTGAACCTGCTTAGTGTGCTCATTGGATTCTTCTAAACCATAGACAGAGCCACAAGTACCTCTTCAGGTGACAGTGAAGTAATTTGTTCCTGCCTTCCTTTTTTAAAAATTAAAATATGTATTTTATGTGTATGAATGTTTTGTTTGCATGCAAGTTTGCATTATACGAATGTCTGGTGCCCAGGGAGGCTTTAGGGAGGTGTCTGATTCCATGAGCATGAGATTGGATTACAGATGGTTGTGAGCCACTGTGTGGGTGCTGGGAATCAAACTTGGGTCCTCTGGAAAAGTAGCAAGTGCTTTTAATCACTGAGCCATCTCTCCAGTCTGTCTGCTTGCTTGTTTGTCTGCCTGCCCTTCCTCCCTCCAGGTCTCATGTATCCCAGGCTGGTCTTAAACTCATTCATTTTGTAGCAGAGCATGACCTTGAACTCTTGATCTTGCTGCACCTACCTCTTTAAGGGATAGGACTACAGCTGTGTGGTACTATGCCCAGATTAAGTGGTAGTAGGGATTGAACTAAGGGCTTCATGCATGTTGACTGTACTCTACCAACTGGGTCCATAACTTTGTGTTTTCAAAGTTCTCCGTTTTTCTGTCTTACATTCACATCATCCGTTTTGGTTTAGTTTCTTTGATATGTCCTGTAGGTTCTCTTTTGTTTAATGTATATTCATTTAGTCAGTCTAGTAACTGGGAGTCAGGAGCCACTGTTACCTTCATTTTACAGATGAGGAGGCTGAGGCACAGAGGAAATAAGAGTAGTTAGTGTGTGTGTGTGTGTGTGTGTGTGTGTGTGTGTGTGTGTGTGTGTGTGGACCAGGGGACAGTCTTTAGTGTTGATCCTCAGATGACATCCATCTTTTTTTCTTTTTTTGAGACAAGATGTCTCACCAGGACCTAGAGCTTACTACTTTAGCTAGTCTATCTACCTGACTCTCCCTCTGTAATGCCAGTATTACAAGTGTATGCTACCATGTCTGGCTTGTTTTTTGAGTGTGTGTGTGTGTGTGTGTGTGTGTGTGTGTGTGTGTGTGTGTGTGTTGAATGCATATGAATGTGTGTGTGTGTGTGTAGGAATGTACCTATGTGTACATATGTGGTGTCCCGGGCTGGGTATGGGGTGTATTCCTCTATTACTGCCTACCTTGTTGCTTTGAGACAGGCTTTCCCACTAAACTAGCTTGGAACTCACTTTCCTGGCTAGCAAGCTCTCAGAAGCCAGTTGTCTTGGACTCCTACTGCTGGGCTTACAGGCATGCCTGGCTTCTTGGTACTTTTTAATAGACTGTCTTTTATTTATTCTCTAACAGTTTCATGCATGCAAATGGCATGTCTTCATCAGACGCACCACAACCCTGCTTTTTCTGTAGGTGCTGGGGGTTTGAACTCAGGTCTTCATGATTACAGGGCAAGTGCTCTTAACCTCACTCCACATATAACTTTTAAAATGTAGATTCTGGGAACTGAATTCACATCCTTGTGCTTATAAATAATTTACTGATTGAGCTATCTCCTTTGTCCCTCAGAACATTCTTAGAAGAAAAAATGCCAATTGGATTTCCAAGAGCTCTAATATTAGAAAGTAGCCCCAAGTTTGCACTCCAGATTGGAGGACAACTTTCCGAAGCAGGGCCTCATTATACAGCCCACTCCGGAACACAGGATATGATGGCTTCAGCCTCCTGATTGTTGGGATTACAGGTGTGTGCCACTGTACCCTGGTGGAGGACATTTTAAAAGGGTAAACAGATTGTACTGTGGAGCAGTCAGCTGGTACCTCCAGAAGTTCACCTCCTACTGAGATGCGTAGATGCTCTTCATCCAGCAGGATTCAATTACCCCTCATTACTCCCTCATCTGGGTGATGATTAAAACCTTTCTGGGAGTGTAGATCTCTTTGAGAGATTGCAGAGTGCTGAGGTGCTTACAGGCCTGCAGCTCCTCACTGGTCCCAAGGGAAGGATGGTCAACCTCAACGATACCCTTTACAGTATCTTTTTAAAGATTTACTGTATGTGTTTGAGTGTTTTGCCTTCATGTATGTATGTACACCATGTGTGCGCTTGTGCCAGCAGAGATCAGATGTGGGAGCTGGAGCCCTTGGAACTGAAGCTACAGGTGGTTTCAAGCTACCGTAGGTGCTGGGAATCAAACCCAGGTCCTCTGCAAGAGGACCTCCCTTTCACAGTTTTTGTGGCCTTCTTTTTTCCTTCCTTCCTTCTTTTCTTTTCTTCTTCAGTTTTTGCATGCATATGTCCATATGTCCATGCACGTGAATGTTCATGCCCGTGGAGACCTGAAGTTGGCATCAGATGTCTTCTTGTTTTTTGTTTTTTTTTTTTTTTTTGGTTTTTCGAGACAGGGTTTCTCTGTATTGTTTTGGAGGCTGTCGGTCCAGCCTGGCCTCGAACTCACAGCGATCTGCCTGCCTCTGCCTCCTGAGTGCTGGGATTAAAGGCGTGAGCCACTACCGCCCAGCAGAAAATAAAAATAAATAAAAACAAAATAAGTGAACAAACAAAAACACCCCCCTCAACAAAACAAACTCTTCACTCCACCATCTTTCCCACCTCTCCTATACCTCCTCCTTTGTCCTGGTGGCGTTGGGACCTGCAGTGTGCCACACAGTGTACCCTTTTGTCCAGTCAGCTTTGTTTGTAAATGTTCATTGCAATGAGTCACTGGTCTTGTTCAAGACCTCTGGTTTCTGGTGCACCATCCTCACTGGATCCTCACTGAAACTCCTCTTGGATATCCTGTGGCTACCCTGAGTCATGGAGATCTTGCAGGTATCATTCTACAGGACCAGTCCCTTCAGGAGCTTCAACAGGTCCTACATGGGATAGATGTTAGGATGGGCCAACCCAAGGCCCATCTGTGAGCCTGGGTGGCAGTTGATGTGGTTAGTCCAGGCCACTGGGGCTGCCTCGCTCAGGTGAGGGGTGGAGCCAGCTCCCCTACACACTGCCATCAGGGTCAGTTCTCCCATACCTGTGGTGATGGATGGGGCCATCTCTTCCAAGTGTTGGGTGCCGGCTCTCTTATTCCATTGTCTAGCTAGGGGCAGGGCCAACTAAACCAGGGCCAGCAAAGGGCAGGGCTGGCTCAGCAAGGCCCTCTGATTTCATTATGCTTGGTTCCTGTGGTCCCCTGAGGTGACATGGGCCACAGACATCTACAGACCCAGCTGCAGCAGGACCACGGACTCAGACATGGCCCTAGGCAGCAGTGTGGGCCCGGATGACATTCTGGCTCCAGGTGGAAGCACAGGCCACTCAAATCAGGTTGGCTGTGGCGGCAGTATAGCCCCCGGAAACCAACCAGGCCACAGGTTGTGACCCCAGGCTTCCATGTAACCTTTGGTGGCAACATGAGCCTCAGACTTCAACACAGACCCTGGCTGTGGTAGGATCACAAACCCAGACACGGTCTTAGCAGCGGCCAGGTCTAGATGTCACCATTGCCCCAGGGGGCAGTGCAGGCCACTCAGATTGGCAGTGTGGCCCTCAAATACCAACAGGGCCCCAGGTCTCGGGCATCTACACGACCTCTGATGATAACAGGAACCTCAGATATCAATACAGACCCTGTCTATGGTAGAGCCATGGACCGAGATGTAGCCCTCAGCTGTAGCTCTGGTCCAGATGTCACTATGGTACCAGATAGTAGTATGCGCCTCTTTTATCTGTATGGCAGTGGATGCAACATGGCACCAGGCTACCAACATGGACTTAGATTATTAACCTGACCCTGGATATCCACATGGCCCTCAGTGGCAACATGGGCCATGGACTTCAACACACACCACACTGTGTCCTGGGTCCAGACATCACCAGCACAGGCCACCCAGATAAGCATAGCCCTGGTGGTAGGGCAGCCCTCAGACACCAACAAGGCCTCAGGTAGCAGTACAGACCCCTGGAATCTGCATGACCCTCATGGCAACAGGAGCCATGAACATCAGCAAAGACGCTGGCTGCTATAGGGCCACAGACCCAGACAGGGCCCCCAGCAGCAACCCTGGCCCAGAGGTCACCACAGCATCAGATAGCAGCAATATGTGCCACTTAGATCTCTATGGCCCTGGATGCATCATGACCCCTGGGCACTAACATGGTCTTAGGTGACTGATCAGACCCCGGAAACCACATGGCCCTCTGTTGCAACAGGAGCCACAGACATCAACTCAGGCCTTGGCTACTGTAGGGCCATATTATCTATCTATCTATCTATCTATCTATCTATCTATCTATCTATCTATCTAAAAAAACCAACAAAAACCTTTTATTATAACAGTGTTGCAAATGAAAGAATTACATTCTAAAATTGATTAACCAGACTCAAAGATTATACAATACAACGAATGTTGGGAGAGGATTTTGGTGTGGAAGCTAGGGAGCTTCACATCTGATTTCATGTGCTTTCTACTTATTTATAGAGGTGATATCTATTCCTGCTGGTTTGACTAGCCAGCTTTTTCTGAGGATCCCTTCTCTCTGTCTCCAGAGTGCTGCGATTATAGGTGACCTCCGCACCCACCTGACTTTTTATATGGCTTCCTATCCATGGCCTCCAGCTCCTTCGGCTCCTATCTCTTGACCTCTATATACATGGCTTTGTTGGTACTCTAGCACCTGGCTAAGGTCTATGGGCCATGGATTTTGAAAGACGGTTTCTAAGGTGCTGTTTAAGATGTTAGGGGCCAGCACAAGGGTTACTGCTCAGTGCTAGAGATGGAAGTATTGTCTGCTGCCTTTCCTAATTTTTGTTTGCTTTGAGACAGGGGTTCTCTAGGTAGCCTGGGCTAGCCTTGAACTTGATTTTCCTGTCTCTGCTGGGAATACAGGTATGAGCCAGCATGCCCAGGCTGATGCTCCGACAGATCCCCCAGATGGATGTCAAGAACACACGCCGGGACCGCCAGGCCGCTGCTCCTCCCTCCGCGTGCACCTGTTGTCTCTCCTAACTGGTCCCACATCTCAGTAACCCTGGGCAGGGGGTCTGCATATGAACTGCAGATAAAGCAAGTAGGAAATAAAGCAAGTGTACTACCCCTCCTGACCCGGCACACATGACAGATGCCGTTAATAAATCTCAGTTCTGTTTCTCATTGGGCCCAGCTATGGTCTCATAATCCTTCTCAAATAGTAATTTAGGCAGACACCACCAATCCATCAAACTGGCAGGCAAAGGGAGTACATTTGCTATCCTGGTTGCAAGAATGTGGCTGGGCCCTTGGGCTCCAGGCAACCTCTTGTTGGTCCAGGGTCTCATGGCCCATGTCTCAGCTGGCCCACAAGTCCAGGCCTCTGGTGGTCTTGGAGAGTCCTTAGCCACCATCCACGTGGTTGGCTAAACTGTGCCCCAGGGATCCCTGGGTCTCATGGCATATTCCTCTGTATCCATTTGCCATTCATCAGAGGAATGCCTTTATTATCCTTTTCTTTCCCTCCAGTCTTAGTTTGGAAACCTCTGATCCTATGGGTTAGTATCTGAAGTTTGGAAAAGTCGAGAGTGAACCATTCCCCATCTCTATTCTTACAGCTTCCACAGTCCATACCTCCCCTACACCTCAGATATGTAACACATCACACCACTGTCCTTGAAACCTTCCGGTCACGGGAAAGAAAAACCACATTGGCCTTAATGCAGCACACGTAATCATATATAGTCTGACTCAACTTCTTTCTCAGTGTCCCTTGTCACCATGTCCTGTATTCTTAACACTGCATTATTTGACAACACTTTGCTCTCTCTCTCTCTCTCTCTCTCTCTCTCTCTCTCTCTCTCTCTCTCTCTCTCTCTCTCTCCACACACACACACACACACACACACACACACTTGCTCATACTATCACAGTCATGCATGCACACATATGCACACACACACACACAATAGCCTAGTTCACACTATTGTTCTGCCTTGGGTGCCTTTTTTTCATCCTAGCCTTTTCCAATGTCTGGGGAACCATTATCCTTCTTGTCAGTACTGGGGATTGAACCTGGGGCTTTGTACATGTTAGCTGAACACTGTACCACTGGTCTATACTCCTCAAGAACTCCTATTCTTTACAGACGCTTTTCAAATACTGTCTGCTCCGTGATGGCCTGCATGTTCCCTCTTGGATTTAGGATTCTAGTGTCCTCATCTCTCCCAAGGGTGTGCACATCTCTATCCTGGTACCTTTGATGGCTTCTTAGTGAACTAGTGTTCCTAGCCACAGACACAGAGCAGGTAACTGACTGACATTCACTGTGTGTGGACCCCACATTTCTGTCCCTCTTGAGTAGCACTTATTCTGTGGTTGTAGCTCCCCAAGTAAAACCCGCCTTTTACACAGTGGCCCCCTCCTCAATGCAGAAGAATCCCTCATTGAAATTCACAGAGGGATCTGCTGCTTCAGCAGGAGTCTTCACTGACCAGTGGTGCCACTGCCAACCCCAACCCTGTGGTTGGATTGTAGAACTCTAATCCACTGTCCTCTTCCAGGTCCCTTGGGCTTCTCTCTGATGGGTAGAAGGGGCTGGAGGCACAAGTTGAGACTGAACTCTGTAGGTGACTGCAGGTGCTGTTTCTATACTACAGGGCAGAGAATATGTTCCTCAGGGAGCCCAAGTAGTCTACAGGCTCATGACACAAATGTTCCCTAGGAGATCCTACAAATAACACTATTACCAGAATGACATGTCTCCCTACATCCCTGGCTTTATTCTAAAAAAATGAACCTTTTTTTTTGTGGACAGCATGACACTTTGTGATTTTATTATCCCCATTACATAGATGAGAGAACAGAGGCCATGAAGACCTCCTTAGATTCAACTTTCTCTGGGGAAATTGGGAAGCAGAGGCCACTAGCCCTGGAGGGAGGTCATGGTGAGTGTTGTGAGCTTGGGAAGAAGGGCGGTGTTGAAGGGCGGCAGTGGCATTCTGTCTGTAACCTTCGGAAAGCTACGCTTGGCTTTTAAACAGCACGACGTTGTATCTTCTCAGAAGGCTCAGTGGAAAGGGTTGGGGGAGTGCATGAGCATAAAATACCTGGTGCATTTTGGGTGATTGGTAACCAGGAACCAAGGTTGTTAATTGTCTAATTGCTCTTTCCTTCATGCTTTTCTGTTTTGTCCACTTCCCGCCAGCCTTATCAGGCTCTCATGGTCTTTAATGATCCAACTTGCACTGTTCTCAAGGCTTTCCTGAAGTCTCTACTCTCGATTTGGCAGATGCGCTTCTCGGGAGGCAGGAGGGTGTTTTCCCTTCTGGACAGGCTGGCACCTGAGTTGGCATGTAGGTGCCTCTCCAAGGTGCTGAGCAGGCTGTTTTCTGGTTTGCGGCCAGTGAGGGAGGTGGTGTGGTGGTGGTGGTGGTGCTGGTGGTGGTGCTGGTGTCCCATTACCAGGTCTGGTGTCACCTGGGTGGAAGAGAAGCCTCAGGGCCCTGGTGACTGAAGGTAGTGGACGGGAATGGAGCCCTACTGGGAACAGAGGAAGTGGGGCTTGTTCCGGGATCAGATGTGGGGGCCATGGAGAGACAAGAGTCTTCCACCAGCTTAGTCTGGGGTCCAGGATGGACATAGGCATTCACAGGTCAGAGAGTCACTGATCTGGCTCTGGGGATGCTGAGGGAAGGAGCTCATAGGCCAGGTCCTCAGGTCTCCGGGTGTCTGGCAAGCTCTTGTTGCTGAAGGGATGTGACACAGTTGATAACCCTTTAGTGTGGTCTTGTGCTGAGCTGGTGAAAGGAGAACCCGAGGGTTGGGTTATAGGACCTGAACTCTGGCCCTCCTGTGGTCTGCTGACTGTGTGACTTGGAGTGTATTACTTAACCTGTCTTAGTCTTGGTTTCTGTAAAAGGGGATTGATTAGAGGTTACCTCTTGCGAGTTATTGTGAGGTCAAATGAACATCATCAGGTCACACAGTAAGAGTTCAATAAATCAGGCGTATTCTCATGAACTGACCTGCTGTCAGTGCACTGATGCTTCTCCTCCTAGTCTAAGTCCCTACTCACAACTCTCACCAGACAGAGTCGGAGGTACCAGGATAGAGATGTGCACATGGCATTTGGGAGGGAGGAAGATTTGAGAGCTTCAAACCTAGCAAGAGACACAATGCACAGGCAGACAGCGTTTGAGAAGGGTTCAGAAAGGCTTTGGGTTTAATTTCCTTCCTCCCTTCCTCCTTTCCTCCCTCCCTCCCTCTCTCTCCCTCTCTTCCTCCTCTCCTCCCTCCCTTCCTTTCTCCTTCCCTCCCTCCCTTCCTTCTTTCTTTCTTTTTTCAAGACAGGGCTTCTCTGTATAGTCCTGGCTGTCCTGCAACTTGCTATATAGACCAGGCTGGCCTCAAACTTAGAGATCTGCTTCTCTCTGCCTCCCGGGGAGTGTTGGGATTAAAGGAATATACCACCATCACCCGGCTTAGTTTTTGAAAAATTTGAGACAGGATCTAATTCTGTAGTCCAGGTTGGCCTGGAATTCTCTGCAGAGTCTAGATGTAGACCAGGCTGGCCTCAAACTCACAATGATCCCTAGGTAGCACAAGTGTGAAGTTACTACATCTGGCTTACACAGGTGCTGTAGATCTCAGTTGGGTGTGTGGCACACAGCTGTAATTCCAGCACTTGTAAGGTGGAATCAGGAGGATCAGAAGCTCAAGGTTTTCCTCAACTGCAGAACTTGTGAATATGAGAGCTTATCTAACAAACGTGAACAAATGAAACTTCTGGTCTCCCAGAGGCCCTGGTCAATGAGCCAATGAGGAACAGAACCTCATAGTGACTGTCCTCTCCAGTGAGCTGTCACTTGAGTCCTAACTGCCTTCCTGACTGATGTGGGGATGCTGGACAGAGACATAAGGCTGGAGAAGCTGTGGGAGCAGAGGGCAATTTCCAGTGCTGGTCAGACCAATGCATTTGTGAGTGACCCATTATATGAGGACGACAGCAACAAGTGCAGAGCTCAGACCAAAGAAGGCTCGGACAGCTCTCTGTCTCTGTGTCTGTCCGTCTCTGTCTCTCTCTGTCCACTTCTCTCTCTCTGTCTCTCTCTTCCTTCTTCTCCCTCCCCCTCCTTTTGCCTCCTGAGGATACAGGTGTGTGCCAAGACGTCCAGCTTGGTACTTGGCATCTGGAGAGTTCGTCATATTTGCTTGCCCGCTGGCCTCCTGGTCTGCCCTCTTTATGACAGGACCAGGATGCCTGGCATTGTTTTCTTCCCCTTTCTCCTGACCCAGGTTCCAGGTTCCTGGTGCCTGCTGAGTGGAGCCAGTTCTAATATAGATGGGAGAGGAAAGAGGGCGGCGTGGCCCAGGGATGTGGAAAGATGTTCCAGTCCAGCCAGATCCCTGCCAGAGTGTGTTCCTAGACAAGCTGCTTTTCTTCTCTGGGAGTCTCCTAGCCTCAGCACCCATGGCTCACCCCAACTTTTGGAAGGGAAGAAGAGCTGCCCTTTCCTGGACTGTCTGCTGCTGCACCCCAGAAGCTAGTGGGGACTTCTGGAGGTGTCCTCCAGTGCAGAAACTTTGATTCCCACTGTATGTTTTATAGGGTGACAAGCCCTGGTCACGCCCACACTGCAGATTGCCTCTGAAGCCTCCCCAGTGATTCTGTAAAGATCCAGGTCTTGACTCTGCTGCAAAACGAATGAACTGCTCATTTCACCAGCTCAGAGCACATCCGGGCCAAACTTCTCACTTGGCTTTTATGGGGCTAATACATCTGCAGAGTTCGTTGCTGTCGCTCTGCAGAGGGAACACATTATTTCGGAAAACTTTCTTTTCCCTTTCTCTCCCCCTCAAACTTATTCTGTGGTGGAAACGGTTTTCTCAGCGTCTTTAAAAAACCACTCAGATCTTCTTGGCAACCTCCACTACCATGAGAGAGTAGCTGGGAGAATGCAAACGAAGCGGAGGGCATTAAAAACCCTCCTGTTCCAGCAGCTCAAGTGGAGAAAGGCCGGATGATGGATGGTACCTGGTTTTCTGCTGAGCGATTTTGCTCTTTTTACAGCTGCCAATGGCTGATGTATTTCATCTTTTGTTTCCTTTACTGCCACTTAAGCAGCCACCCTCAGGCTGGGGCTATGTCCCAGGGCACCCACTCATCCCCACCCCCATGAGAGGACTTCAGC